GACATAATATAAAGAAATCAGCCTTTAGAAAATTATTGCGGTTTAATGTCGCTCGCCTCTTGGGCTATATTAACAGTTAGTATTACCAAAGCTTAATGGCAAACAAATCGCATTTTCCACGCAAGTCAAATACTTGGGACTAACATTAGACCAAAAACTGACGTGGAACCCGCATCTAACTGCAGTCCTAAGTAAAGCCAAGATGGCATTGGGAATAAGTGGCCGCATGTTGGGTAAAAATTGGGGGTTAAATCCCAAAAACACACTTTGGACTTACACTGCTATTGTGAGGCCAATTATCACGTATGCATCGGTAGCCTGGTCCAATAAGGCCAAGCAGACGACAGCCATTCAAAAACTAGACAGCCTACAAAGAACAGCCTGTCTAATGACCACAGGAGCCATGTCTACGTGCCCTGGTCAGGCACTAAATGCATTACTCGGGCTGCCACCTTTAGACCTTTTCATACAAAAGGAGGCAAAAGCCAGCATGCATAGAGCTAAAATCCAAGGCAGAACTCATTGGCTCTCACGAAAAATGAGGACCCTACAGGACTCATTACAAGAAATGCCGCTACTTGGTATGACGACTGATGCCATGTTAATTCGGCACTCATTTGTAAAGTATTATACAATTGAATTTCCGTCAAGGGAAGACTGGACTAAAAGCCAGGTAATCCATAAAAACGGATCTCTCATCTGGTTTACAGATGGCTCAAAAATAGAAGCAAAGGTTGGCTGTGGGATATATGGAGAGCGACCGAGGTTTAGCAAAAGCATACACCTCGGACAATTTGCCTCTATTTTCCAAGCAGAAGTCTATGCCATTCTAGAATGTGTAGAAGCTAATTTGTCTAAGCACTACACAAATCAAACTATCTATATAAATTCAGATAGTCAAGCTGCACTACTAGCGCTGGACTCAAACATAGTCTCATCAAAGTTAGTGGAGCAGTGCATGGACCGACTAAACCTCTTAGCAAGAAGTAACAAAGTAGTGCTAAGATGGGTACCGGGTCATGCAGGTGTAATTGGCAACGAGTGTGCCGATAAGCTCGCTAGAGGGGGAGCTCTTGGCATACAGCAGGGCCCTGAGCCCTTCTGTGGGATACCTAAGAGCCTAGTTCAAAGAACCCTAATGATAGCATGTCTTAAGACTGCAAACAAAACCTGGACTGAATCAAATGGAATGAATCACTCCAAGGCATTAATTAGAGCCTACGACAAAAGGTTTAACAATCTTATGCTAGGGCTAAACAGAAAAACCTTACGAATACTGGTAAGGGCCTTTACTGGACACTGCTGCTTAAATAAGCACATGTTCAACCTGGGGCTGAGCGAAACGCGAACCTGCAGAATTTGCAGGGAGGCAGACGAAACGCCACTGCATCTTCTGTGGGAATGTGGACCGCTCATGCACAAACGTAGTATTCATCTAGGTAAACAATTTCCAAGCCTAGATGAAATAAAAGAGTGTAACCCTAAGAAAATCCTGCAGTTCTTAACATCAGCAGGGTTTAGTGGTTCACTCTAGTACAAAATGGCGGCGATCACAATAGACCAGAAATGGTCGCAAATAAAAAAGCCGCCAAACAGAAATAAAAAAAAAAAAAACAGTTAGTATTTGCATTAACTTCATTGAAATGAAATAAAACGTTATACAAGCACTTTTGAATCGTCAATTTTATTTAAAGAGCATCAGTGTACTCATTTCTCGGTACGTGAGGAAGCTAGCACGGTTCGGAAAACAATTCTGCTGAGAAGAGCCGGCAAGAAACCCAGCAGTTGCTCTTTTAAATATCACCAAGTTACATTTTATTAACATAATAACATTATAGCCCGTATATGAGGAAACGTATCTAAATTCCGCATATTTTCATCAACAAGAATGTCTTAAACTGTGTAATATTATGCTTTGCTCATTAAAATATTTTCTATTTTATCATCAATTTATCGAACTTTTAAATTTTCATTCGTCACTAAATAGCTAAATTAGTATGTTTGATCTAGATCTCATGACGGAGCCAGAAGGTGGATAGTGGAACTCTTCAATGGCTATCTCGGGTTCGGGAGCCTCGAATTTGGGATCATTCTATTCTACAAGTCTATAGCTTGTATTTTTATTATTTAAAAACTAGGGAATTGTAAATTATTAAGTCTTTTAATAATTGGACGCTGAAAAACAGCTAGATTAGTTTCAATGGAACTTTGATATAGTTATTAGTAGTAGTATTTTGAATTGAACACAGGTAGCTATACCTAATCAATTTCAATTGTACTGGAATGAGTTTAAAGACATTATTCGCATCGTACGTCCTCGGGATTCAAAGGTTTTGGAGTTTTGGAGGAAAGAAACCTTAAATAGGGTGGGCGAAAAAATTTGTCATTTGTATACAATTTTAAAATATTATTATTTGGTTTCTTATTCAGTTCTACGACACTGTCCATGTTATTCTTGAGTGTAATGTAAATTGTAATATTGTATAATACTAGATAGGAGTAGCCAATCGTGAATCAATCAATCAAAAAACTAATATACAACGGTAACTAGATATGTTTTGATGAACTAAGATTATTTGTAAAACATTTAAGTAGGTAATATATTTAACTATAGAATAATTTTGAAATAATAAAATTTATTAGAAAAATAAGTTATAGGTATAGGATAGAGAATCGAATTTAAATTATGTTTATGGAAAAATTTGAAAGGATATGACGTCATTGCTTCTTGGCAATGTTTACTAACATTTCCTTCATCATTTCCTCATTGTCCATGGATCTATATGATATCTTTGATAGTATTTATTTATTCCAATTTATGTCAATTTTATTGGTTTATGTGATTTTGATTAAATATCTATATAAATTCTTATATTTTATTATATTTTAAATTCTTTTTATCACACTATGCAATCTACTTAGGTACATATAAATAGTTTTTTACATGTATAGGATATATTTTATTGAACCTTAATTCCTAGGAAAATAAGTGTCATATTCCACTAAAATTTAAAAAATGCTACCATTTTATCACTCACTAGTGACTTACCCTCGTTTTGCTCGGGTTCATCCCTAGATACGTTTTAAATCCATATGAATAGTTATTGCGAGTGTACCTAAGGAGAAAGATTTATGCTATTGCAGATTTTGCTGTGGCCTACATTAAAACCTACAATTTTCTATTAATTTTTTTTATTCACATCTTAAGGTTTAGCCAGCGTTAGATATGTTAGTTTCTAAGAACTAATCGATAAAACCAGTTATTGTTTTTCCGTAGGAATGAAAGATTTTCCTGCAGTAAAAGATATCTTTAATGTTAACCCGAGTAACAAGATATCACTGCACAAAATTTAGTTAAAATCCGTTCAATACTTTTTGCGTGAATCTTAAACAGATATACAGACAGACAAAAATTTCAACAAATTTCAATTGTTTTGGTGTCTACATTCTATACTTAATACGAAAAGTCATTGTTTTTAAATAAATTAATATTTTTAAGAACAAACTTTTATAGGTTTACATTCTTATTTTGAAAAAAAGATTTTTCTGCCTATTATTCTTATTTTTTAGTTCACACGTCATTGTGTGTGTGAACTACTCAAGTCAACTGGATCAAAATTTCATATCTGTGCATTTAACTGCTGAGATCTCTCATAACCTGGGTGCAACAGCCAGGCTATGGTGGACTTTAAAACGGGCTATAATAATTAAATGTGTATATTATATAACGAAATTGTATTTCGTGTCCGTAGGGACTGTTGATCGTTAAGAAGTTACTCCGTCTGGAGCCAATCCTAGATGGAGAAAGTCATAATTATCATAAAAAGGTCATAGTCATCGGAACTTTTTTTTGATATCGCTGGGGAAACCCATCATGGGAACCCTACCCGCCGTCAACGGGCAAGGTACTGTGAGACTCCTACTTACTAAAACCCTTCGCCGCAGTGCAATGGGGCGTTGCAGGATTGCTTGTGCTCACACTACAACTCCCTTGAATAGTCATCGGAACTAAGTCAACATGTAAAATGTCAACTCTGTAGATTATGAGGAAATGGTTCTAATTCAGCTTGCTAGATTTGACTCAAAAAAACATACCAACTAACATACATTGCAAATAAATAAATAACGGTTTGAAAATTATTATAATTTTTTATTATTATTTATTTTTATATAATTTCATGTGCAGATTTAGCTGTGCTATTTTCTTATATGTATAGATTAAGTTATTTACATCATTAATTTTTATTTTATATTTTATACGTACTTGTATTATATATATGTCAAAGAAATTAATATCTATGCTATTTAAGAGGGGAATTTTTTATTTTCTAAAGGATAACAAAAAGCGGTTTCACTACAAACATTCAGCTATACAATAAGTAATTCCATGAATTATTTATATAAATATCAGCCATTCTGCATTTGACGTCAACTATAGAGGTCACATTATAACAATGTATTTTAAACTCTAACAAAATAACTAAAAGCTTACACTCAATTGATGTACAACACAAAGCGAGTTTATTACTCAACCGTCTTACTTGACGAGGAAAAAACATATTGCGCCTCTCTTTTTTCTATACATAAATTGTTTATATGTTAAAAAGGGACAGATATACAGTTGTCGCGTTCATTTTAGTTGGTTGGAGCGAAACGGGGTCATGGCACGTGTTTGAATTTCGAAACACGTCCCGTCCAATGCGATTCGACTTTATTCACAACACTATCATTGGTTACCCGGAACCGGTACCACGTAGTAGAATCGTTATAAAATCGATACGAGAAACCGGAATTTTGTATGGAAATGTAGAGCTCTATAGTTTGTTTCGTATCGTTTTGTGTTTCGTGGTAGAAGGCAGGTCGATCGTGGAATGGGTGTTTTGTATTATCGTGCAGCCATTTCGTCGCGAAAGATGTCCGAAGTGCGCGTATTTAGGGCGTTTTGACTCAATCTATATTGTTTTTGTGTGTAAAAACTACGTTTTGACTGGAATTTCAAAATGGTAAGCATATTTTGTCATTTTATTTAATTATTTGTGTTGTTGCTTGTTTGTAGTGTGTGTTTTGATTACTCATGGAGTATCGACGTGTGTTTTCACTAAAATTAGTTTTGAGTTCAGGTAGTGACGTCACAGGACTGCATTTGGAAATGATTTGTCGATAGATTTTAGTTTCACATTTGCTGCTACTGTGCTGTTTGTGTTTTTAATCATTTTCTTACATTTTAATACATTTATTAAATATGTTATGTTTACATATATTTATGTAGGTCTTTGTTATTGTTTTCATTCGTATGTAAATTTTAATTCTTTCTTTTGTTTTTATGGCAATATTTTAAAAGTATTTTGAAAAAGTAATACGTATGTTATTAGTATACCTAAGTAGGATACAACATAGGCTCTAGATTGGTAATAGAGCTATAAAGTTTGAAATCCATTATTGTATGCATATCACGTTAATTGGATCCATCTGTTATTTCTTTCTAACACGTGGGTGGTGCTGTATACCTTTCTCATTTACTCAAGACTTATTTATAGTCTGCTTGGGATTTGTTGCGCCCCCGGGGCGCTCTATATTTGTCAGAGTGATGGGCCAATACTCAAAATTTTATCGATATTTTATTATTAAAGTAAAACTTCTTTAGGTGTGACTGAAACCTCAGTTAGTCAGGGTAAGTCCAATACATTGGATACATGTGTCGCGGAAGTGAGAGTCAAATTTATTATGAATAATTTTATAATAACTATAAGTTATAAATGCCTATTTCTAATTAAAAAGTATTATATTTATATTTTGATTTACTTAATTTAATTGCGGTAGATATTTGCCACAGCACCAAAAATGTTTTAATTCAGCCATGCGTAAAGATTAAACGCACTCATTTTTTTTATTATTCATAAACTATTACTTATTAATTTTTATAAATTACAGTACCAATTAATTATATAATGAGTGCTATTAGTTCTAATTATTTTTGTTTTATACTTTTATGATTTTAAAGTTATATAGTATCTGTAATTGATGAAATAACATTAAGGATATAATTCAGTTTAATAATATTTTAGTTCAAAGAATACATCTAATATAAGATTTAAATACATACATTTACGTATGTTATGTAGTTTATTGTTGTATGTATTTATTTAAATATACGAAAAATTATTGTATAGTATTTTTTTATATTTTAAATTGTAATATTTAATGAAATTGTAATAAAATATTATACATATAAATTTATCTAGTGTATAATTCTATTACGATCGTAATATTATTGTTTATTATATTTTAAATGGACCTAAAAATATTTTACATAAGTAATTTACATATTTCTTGTTCATAATATAATATTATAAGTAGTTCATAATACATATTCATAATTATATTTCTGATCAAATACAATTAACGTCGATAAAATTATACGTAGCACTTCACTAGCTAAAAGTAAAATGTCCGCCGTCAGCCGAAGGGGACCGCATCTATTATGATTAAAATATATTAAGCAAAAGTATGTCTTATTTTACACAACATAAGATCGAAATTCACTTACTTGTAACAGTTCTATTATATTAAAAAAATCAATCTATTGTCAACCTTATACCATTGAAATAAAGATGCTTGGAAATCTTTTTATCAATACTTATTGAATAATGTATAATAAAAATGGGTTGATATTTCTTTCTATAATAGGGTGAGGGAAAAGGATATACGTTAGAGAGAGATAGCTAAATATGTTGAAGCTAAAACTGTTGACTGTGACGTCATCAAATAGTAAATGAATGAGACATTAAATATAGGTACTATAAAAACTTAATGGCGGATTGAAAGTAGGTACAATAATAGTCTTTATTATGGTGGGTTTTTGTCTACGACTTCTTCTGTGTATATATTTCCACTGCGTCTAAAAATACATAACTTGACCCACGCTTTGTATGGGAGCGCAGTAAAAGGGGAGCTCGTGGTGAATCTTTGAATGTACTCGTCTGATTGAAATGATATCTTAGCTATGTTCTCAATTTAATGTTACCTGTAAAATAAATAGCATTTCATTTAAATTCACAAAATCACTTTCAATTGGCGCGACATATTATCTAAATCAAAGAAATCATCGTGTGAACAAAGGATATGACATTTATTATTATTTTAATTCGCAAGTTGATATTTGTGATAAAGTTTTATTGTTTTTGACATAATAAATTATATAAATAAATTAAAAAATATTAATATATGTTTACTTCATAAGCACACACTGTAATGTTAAACGTTTATATTTACCATGAAATCGTCCTATGGAAACGAGATAATTCTTCAACAAATTCATATAAAAATAATTTAAACTTACTTTTAAAACAAACATTTAAAAACTTGGGAAGATAAAGTTAGTCCTTTAGTAATAGATAATTATATAGATGTATAAAAATTAGTCACGTTCTTGTTATTTACATTAAATTACTTAAAACAAGAGCCAACTGGAAGACTTTGACAGTTAATCGTACGAAACCGTTGACACTATTTGTTAAATTCTATCCATACTAATATTGTAAATGTGAAACTGTGTTTGTTTGTCCTTCTTTCACGTCGTAACGGAGTGCGTCACGTAGAGCGGAGATAGTTGAAAGGCTGGAAAGTGACATAGGCATATATACATACATACTTTTTACCGCGGGAGATTATCTCATTCCCACGGGAAATAACGTTATAATAAAATTGAAAAAAAAAATTTATGGTCAGAATTACTTGAAACTTGGTATTAATGCTCTTCAACACAATTAAATAAATACATGTTTTAGCATTTTTCGAAATTCATCCTATAAGGGGGTAAAATAGAGGATGAAAGTTTGTATGAAACCTACAAGTTTTTTTGTAGTTTTAACGCGAGCGAAGCCGCGGGTTCTGCTAGTTTCCTATCATTTATGATACTTGAAATAATATTATCTACGAACAATACAAAGTGTGTTAGTACGAATTGTTTTTTGTTTATTTATATATAGGTATAGGTACGATTGTTTTACTTTTGGTTAATTTGTTTTTCAATTATGTTACAGATGCAGCAAATATATCAACAGGAGCAATCTCCGTAAGTTATTTTATAATTAAAAGAAAAAAAATCCAATTTTAATCATCTATTCTAAATATTCTTTAAGATAAAAATTGGAGACACGGAAGTATTTCGTCAAGTTCTTGCAGGATCATAGTTATAGTATTTTTCAGATATAATAATGTTGAAATAAAACATTCGAATACTTAAAGCATTTTGCCAATATAGTAGGGTATTTAATACAAAATAATAATAAAAGGAGCAAAAAATTATAATACCTACTTAGATAAAAGAAAATTGAAATGTGTTTTTTGTTTATGCGTTAAGCAATAGCAAGCAACGAAGTGAACTTATAAGTCAAGCGTTTGCATGAACATTTTAGCGCATCGTAAAATAATAACTAAAATAAAGCGTAAAAGGAAAAAGACGTAATTTTCAAATCATGTGCATATGTCATTTTCTTTAAAGCATCTTGAGCCGTTAAGTGATATTGGGTGAGCCCTTTTTAACGTCCCACCGCTGAGCACGGACTTCTCTCTATACGAGGAGGATCAGACTAAATAATTAAAGATTTTTAGCAATTTATACATATATATATTAATTAATTATATTATAATTTACACTAAAACTCTTATTCTCAAATTTTGAAAACATCAGCATGAGTCTTCTTTCTAAAAGATATTCTAAAGACATCCAAAGTTATCATGCATTTTGGGTCTCAATTAGTTGTCTTTATAGATTGAAACACACTAAAAACACTTTATAGATTAAAACACACCATTTTTTTATAGAATGTATAATAGGAATTATATGTTGTGTATTTAAGAGTGATAATAGTTTCAAAGCTACCTTAAGTTACTCAAAATTTGTAAATCATCCATATCTTTTAAACTTTACATCTATAATTCTAATATGGATTAGTAACTAAAATTATCAACAAACATGCTGTAATGATTTTTCATATTATTCCTTCAAAGTTAATTATGAGATCCCTTATGAGTGTCTAAAATTATTTCAAATAAAATACTATGTATTTTTTTACTTATTTAGATTAAATATCACACAATAATAATGCTATACTTTATATAATGATATCTTTTTAGATCACAAGAATCTCAAGGACAGCAAATGGTATTATGTCCTGTGAGAGTAGTTTACGAAACTCAGATGTTGGTACAGCCAGGTAAAATTAAATTTTACTTGTTGTAATTTTAAAATTCAAAATATTAAAATAAAAATAACTTATATTTAAACAAGATTAAAATAGATTATGCACTGACCTAAATTTAATACATATATTAAGCATCATAATATCAAATTATATATTTATATCATGTAAATGTATAAAAATAAAGTAATACTTATTTTAAATAATTCCCTTTTGATTATTAATATTTTATAATTTTCAGGCGAACAAATGCAGCCTAACCAAACTATTCTAATCAATCCTCAAAATCCTCCACCTTGGATACAGAACAGACCTGTACAAAATCAAGTTTATTATGTACAGCAAATGCCAACTAATTATATGCAAACTACTCAGCAGCATATTGACCCAAATCAACTATATATACAAAATTTTGCATATCAAAATATTCAACCAATGTACGTTCAAAATCCACAAGAACAAATCCGACCTATGCAAATGGTACCTTCAAATGTAGTACATAGTATACAAAACAATATGAGTTCAAACTTACAAAATCAACGGATAGTATCAAATCCACCTCAAATGCCTCAAAATATGAATACTGTTCAAAATATTCAGAACCAAAATATTCCTACGCACAGACAAATAACTCCTAATCAAATAACACACATAAATGAACTAATTAACAATATAAGACCGCAAGAAACCAATGGACAAAATGTTTATAGACAACCAACACCTCAAATTATGCATCAGGATCAGAAAGTTCAGTTGCATCAAACATTTACGATGGTTCCTAATAATATGCAGACTATGCATAGACTTCCACAAGGTTATGAACAAAGTATAGGCAATATACGACCGAAGGCACAGCAGAATATAGCAAATATGCAACTAATACATCAAAATACAGTATCACCAAATGTACAAGAAACTAGAAAGGTAGTAACGACAGTTAACAAAGGAAATCAGCATCATATCCCTACCGTACCTGTTAAGGCACCTCAAAATTTCAGGCCTATACAACCACGAACCAACCAAATTAGAAATAGTGGACCAAATCTTATATCCGTCCAGTCAACGAACTCAATGATCCAACATACTATACCAAACACTATTAGTATAAACAACGTTCCTCGAAAGATTTTACCAAATAACGTGCCAATATCAAGCAGTATATCAATATCGAGTAATGGTAAAATTGAAGGGAATAACATTCCAATGAATAGAAAAAGAAAAAGTGAATCACCTGATGAGGTACATAAGAAGATATCTATTAATAATCACACTGATAATCCTATTATTATCAAACGTATAGAAAACGTTTCAAATAATGTCAATTGTTCCGACGTTGGTGTAAATACAAGTCCTATCCACAAGCCAGATGGCCGAATTATAATGAATAGTTTGCAAATTACTCCATTAAGACCGTCTAATGATAAGAATACAAAAATAAAAGAGGAATTAGCAAAACCAGTAAGGACAAATATTCCCATTTTAGAACCTCAAAATGTTAGCGGAAATAATACTGTAATACCTAATGTTAGCGTTAATAATACTGTAATACCTAATTCACTTCCAATATTGCCCACAGAAAAGGACAAATTAGTAAGAAATACGGTATACACGCAAGCACGAGGTAGAGTGCTTAATGACAAGGAAATATGCTTTGAAAATAAAAAAGTTAATGAATTAGAAAATAAACAAGCAATTCCATCAGCATCTAAAGATATTGACCAAAACCAACCGATTCAAATGGAGACTAATGAGATACAAAAGACTACAGAAGTTGTTAATGATAGTAAAATTAAGAAATTAGATTATAAAATTATAAAAGAAGAAACCAAATTAAATAAAACCCAGTCTCATAGTACAACCACAGATAAATTAAAAGAAGAAAACAAAATAGACAAAATTCAGTTGAATAGTTGTAATACAGATATCAAATTGAAAGAAGAAAGCAAACCAAACAAAATAGAGCCTAATAGTACAACTACAGAAATAAAATTGAAAGAAGATAGAAATTATGTCTTAACTCATGTTTTAGATGGGTATGTTATTCAAGAGTCTAATATAGCTTTCCCGGTAAGTAAATGAAATATCAATGCAAACAATAATAAAACTTATAGTATGATAGGAATTATTCATTTTATATTTATTATTTATATCTTTGCAGATAAGGAAACCGCTGAAGGAAAAGTGTTTACAAAACAATACCGAGGAAATGGACCTAAAAAAAGAAGTTAAAGAAGAAAAAGAGACTGCAATTAGAAATAATAGCAAAATATTAGATATTTCACATCTTCAAATAAAAGAGATAGAGAAAATGAATGCTGATATGGATAGTGAGAGAAAAAATGAAGATAAAGGTAATTGTTGTGTATCTTTTGATTATTTTCTATTATTCATCTGTGTTATAATAAAGAGGTTGCAAGGTTTTAGCTTGTGAATTTTTTAATTATAAATATGAATAGTTTTTATTTTTATTTCAGTTTTCTAAAAACCATAATGTTTTTATTACAGAAAATCCATTCACAAATCTCAAACTGAGCATTGTCAAGTCATGGACGGTAAGTTTAATAAATTTTTTATTATTATCTTTAGTTTTCTGTTTTTTATTATATTAGTATTAATATTTCCTTTTTTTTATTTTGTAGACTGATCAGTTAGCGACACATTTGAATGAATATGCTTGGAATGAAACAGTTTCGGTATTACAAGAACATGAATTAGACGGTGAATCTCTGTTCTTAGTATCAAGAGGACAACTTGTAACTATAGGAGTTAGCGAAGAACATGCAGACATCATATGTGAATTTGTAAAAAGCTAATATTGCTAATGTAGTTTAATGTATACCTTTAATTATAATTGAATTGTGCCTTAATGGTCACTTTCTGTAAAAAATGTTTAATGTTATAGAAAATGAAAAAGATATTTTTTCAAATAATGGTCTGATTTTTAAAATGTTTTTTGATTAGAAAGTATACAGGCATAAATTGTGTTCACTAAACTTGGCTTATGCAATGCCGTGCGCCGTGATTTCGAAGAAATTACGGTTTCAATTTTATTTAAGTAAGTACATACTTTTAAATATTTATAATTAGTATAATTTGGTATTAATATTTTGGGAGTAATTGTCTTCCATGAAATGTTTAATTTTACTATTAATTGTTGTGTATGTCCAAACAAAACTGTAAATATGCAATATAATTTATAACATGATTTTGTTTTTTTTTTTCAAAATATTTTACAAAAGCAGCATAGAAATATAAGAAAAGTCTACAAGTAACAATAAATATGAGTATTATTAAAATCAATCGATAAAATTTACAACACGACATCACCTAAAATTAATAAGAAAAAAATGTGTATGAAACTAAACTTTATTTACAATCATACCAATTCATGAACAGAACAGAAATATACAATAATAATTTACCAGTAACTGTAGAGTCGTCCTTTATAACATAAAACTAATTTCTCCTCCCGTTTTTCCCCATAAAATTTACAACTTGAGCAAACGGCGCAAACTTCCCGCGTCTAATTACACGTTTTTTTAAATCTAGTTCCGGCAAGAAATCTTGTGATTCTGCCACAGATGAATCCATGTTTTTTGATGCAACTTCTTCAGATATATCTGTATCATTTTTTTCTGTATCAGAATATTCTTTATATTTTCTACTGAATTCTGGTTTATTTCTATGCTCACGATATTTCATTTCTGGTAAACCAAATTTTGGCTCGGGAGGTTGACACATTAAAGCATCATAAAAGTATTTGTCAGCGCGGCCTTCTTTTCTTGATTTTATTTCATCATCAGAACTTTCATTCGAAGAATGAATTTGAGGAGAACCTGGAGATGGTTTTTTATGGATTCTTGGGCTGAAATACAATAAATTTATAACTTGCATAATTTATTAAATACAAAACTTTTAAAGATTAGAAAATTCCTATAGATGTACTATTTAAAAGTCAATAAGAAATAAATGGTGTTATGATAACGAAATATATATTTTAAATTGCTAAGAAGAAAATCTTAGACACAATAAAAAACTTTAACACAAACTATCGAATCAAAAAACATATCACCATCTCTTAGCCTCTCCAACCAATGCGGGAGCAACCCCAAGACGTGGAGATTGAGATGGTTTAATAATAGGCTCTGGTGCTTCATCTCCGATGCCCTAAAACGTTTAATATTTGTCGGTTTAGTTACTGATGATATGATATTAAGATAAACGACAATTGTAGAAAATGAAATAAAGTAACCTTTCCAGTCATATGAAAGTAGCAATGTGTCACTCTCTCCACATCTGCCCAAGCGACGAGGTAACGTGCCATAGTTAATGGGATCTTAGGCAGAAAATTAGAATGAAATTTCCCCTGGCAATATATCGTTATGACATCTGTATCTTTAACTTCAAAGATTATTCTAAATACCGTGCCTATTAGAAAGCAATTTTATTAAAATTACGAGTATAAGCCCACACTAATGACATTTATTGTGTTTCAGCAAACGTGATTAGAGTAAAGTAGTAGAGTATTTTATTACATATGCAACTAACCAGGCACAAACATATTATAATTTGTGTCTAAGTTCCCGCTACCAATCCAGACTCCATTTCTACGAGATAGAGATATAATATTGTCACGATGGAAACGAACGTCAAAATGCAGCACTACATCCCGTGGCTCTTCACCTTCTTGAGCACAAAGATTTACGGACATCCTAGCAATCAGTATTAAAATTGATATCTTATCAACACCTTAGATATACACTTACTAACATACGGTTAATATTTAATATAGTTTATCTACACTTCTACATCAACACTAATAATATAAAGAGGAAAGATTTGTATTGGTATTGTATCTTTGTAACGAATAAACTCAAACTACTTGACGACGATTTTGATGAAATTTAGTAAAAAGATAGTTTGAGACCCTGGGAAGGACATAGGAAGTTTTAATCCCGGAAATCATCCCTTAAGAAAATTAAAAATGGAGATGAAATTTTGTATGGGGAATCAACTTAGATGAACCCGAGCGAAGCAAGGTTGAGTCGCTAGTATTTAATAATATTAAGATAATATTTATTTTTTTGCATTAAATTCTGACCCAAATTAAATTCTATTCCATATTCCATAAATTCGATTTTTTATGTCATACCACTATGATATTATTAACGAACAAATTGTCTTACTTTCTGGCATTTTCCTTTATTCTACCGCCAATTTCAATCCTGTCTCCAATTTTAAGTACCCCTGGAATATTTGCTGTAAATACTGGCATTTCGACTTTAAATTAAATAAATAAGTTACAAAATCCGGCCCTACTTTCCGTGTCAGGGCCAGTTGTATTTTTGATCATTTTGAACGAAAAATTTGTGCATAGGTAATACTTGATTGGCTTATTTTGATATAAATTTGCGTTATCAAAGAAATATGAAAATCTAAATTGACAAACGCCAGATTGAAAGTTAAAAATATTTTTTCATTAATCATTATAATTGATTGATCGCCATATTAACAAGAAATTTGACTGAAGCTTTAAAATATGTAGCATATTTATATTTATTGTTAATTAGCTGATTTCTAATCATCAACTCGGTTTATTTTTATTTATCTAAATATTATTAAAATTTATAGTTATGGCTTTGGCTAAATATCTTCGATTTTGCACCAAAAATTATCATTTTTAACTTCATTCAAATGTCAAAGAAGGGAACGTCATTGTAAACTGTCAAATGTAGGAATTCGCCAATCGCCTATCGCCATTCGGATTTCGGCTCCGTTTGCATTTGCGAATCGAATATAACCTTACAATATTTAGTTTTTAAATAAAAGTTTACAGTACTCTCCAATTTTATCATAAGTATCGATTAAAGAGTTCGATTTTGAATTCAGATATAGAAGATAAGAAAGGTGAGATCTTCATTGTTGATTTTAAAATAAATGATGAAATATTATGCACTTGCTGTAGATTCAAAATTATCACAGCTACCCTAAGTGGGAAACTATTTTTATCTTACAAAAGTTATCAGTTACTGGTTGGCGACACAGTTTCGTTGAATTGCGGTTAAGTAAATGTCAGTTTTTTTAAACCTTCATATATTTTCTAATTAAACAAATACTTATGACTACTCTTTTAACCTTTGAAAACTTTATAAGCATGAAAAAGATATTTAATCTTTATAACACATTAATGTCTTTGAAAAGAGATATATAAAGTAAAATCATTATATTAATAAATATCTTAAGTTTTCATTGTATTTTACAATACAAATGTCTCACAGTCAGAATTCATTAACATTACTCATAGATTAAATATATCAAGACTGATTAGTAATTCATTAAAATGCAAGTGAACACATTTACTATAAGCAAGTTTAAAGCCAACATATGCTTTCATTAGAAACATTATATGTATACTTCTATTTTTTTTTTTCATTTAATAAATTATGATTGTGTACAAATTCATAATGAATTTTTAACCAAGAAAATAACAGATACAAACATACAATATACAAACAAGTTACAAATGTAAACAATTAAAAAAAATAATATATAAATAAATGTATAAGGAGAATAAATAAATCTATCCTACAGGAACCATACAATTTTTCAGGCCTCTACAATCGTCCTTGATTAGTTACATTAATTTATTAAGTAAATTAAAAGGTACAGTGTGAACTCATATTATGATAACATATATTTTATAATAATTAGTTTTTGCCTTTAAAAAGTGCATAGATAAAAAGCAATTTTATATAGTATAGTATAGATAAAAAGCAAAGATCTGAATATCACTGAAATAATTTGAGCCTTTAAAAAATAATATACTAATTAATAGAATTGAAGTGTCTGTTTGTAATGTTAAAGAAGAGCTTTAGATTAGTGTGAGAGAAAAAGAGAGATTAAGTACTTTCATATTTATAATATTGGTATAATTGTCACTCCCATTATCTTACATACTTGTATGGTCACATCTAAAATAAAATCATGTAAAATTCTGAAAAAATACTTTTATTTAAAATTTTTAATATTCAAATAAATTCAAAAAAGTATTTATTATAGTACATTTACAATTTAAAAATATAATAAGTTGCAATCAGTATTACTTTTTCTCATATATTTTATCTGCTTTGTTTTTTTATTTATATGTGCAGTATGACCTTTGTCATTGATATGTTTTCTAGTACATAGTAGTTTATAATCATAAAGATGGACTTATATGCAATATAAAAGATTAAAATGTGTATGCCTAATAAATACTTTAAATCTATACAGATAAATAAAATTGAAGTGTTTATTTGTAATGTTAAAATAAAATTTTCTTAATAAATGCATATGAATTCACGTTGTACTTTCTTAGATTTACGCGAATGTTTGATATTTTTAAATAAAACTATCTTTTTGGATTTATTTTGATTTTTGGTTCCCGACGGTTATAAATATAATAAAGGCAACACTAAATATAGATTACTAATTAATATTTTTAAAATTGTAATAATTATAAAAACAATAGCAAAAATTAAATAAATAATATTCCATATTCAATTATAATTAAAATTATAAAAATGTTTAAAGTTAAAATATTGTAATGTAATTGGTGCAATTTTCATTTTGTTAATTGTGGGTAGGCTGTCTGTAACAACTTACCTTCAACATACCTTCAAGACATGTAACATACTTTTAACATACCTTCAAGACATGTAACACCTCAGTCTCTCCCGTGACCATGGATGCTGTAAAGCATTCGAAACGTCGGGAACCAAAAATCAAAATAAATCCGCGAAATAATCCAAAAAGATAGTTTTATTTAAAAATGCATATGAAATTATTTACGGTACATAAAAGAAAAACACAATAAATTTTTTATCTCTGTGTGTCTGTTTGGTCCTGTCTGGTGTCCTGGTAATCTCCGAAACGGCTGGTCTGATTTTGACGGGACTTTCACTGGCAGATAGTTGATGTTGTAAGGAGTGACTTAGGCTAATTTTATTTTAGAAAAAGAATTAGGGTCCTGCTCAAAATAATTAAAACATACCCAGGGACGCACCCGAGCGAAAAAAAAAAATCTTTTGTTTTCTTATAAGTATTATATAAAATAACATATATGCATTTAGATAAGAGCTGTTATTTTGATATTAGAAACAAACACTTTATTTTATTTATCTGTAATACTCTTCGATCAACAATACTACTGTTGATCGAAGGTAATACTGTATAGATTAGTGTGACAGAAAAAGAGAGATTGAAATCTGTGCTGTGAAATAAAATTCATAATTAAATATTGAAAGGGGATACAATCTTTGTGACATTACTGAGCTCGTTTTTGAATTGAAAACTTCTATAGGCAGGTTTGGATGGGGAGTAAATTGATGTAAGTCGTCATCGACATGGTCACGTGACGTGTTAACACTCAGAAGTCAGAGTGCCGATAGATGTCAAAACCAGATATATGTAAACAGTTTTAAATTACAAATTTTAATTTAAGATCAAACAATTAATTTGAATATATAAAAATAGCAACTGTTTGTTTATAGTTTTAAGTTTTCACTTCTGTCGGCAGTATTCATGACTGCTTTTATAAAAAAAATATTTGAAACTGAAAATCATTGAAACTGACACATATGAATAAAAGACTGAAATAAAAACAATTATATGATAGCAATATGGTGCTTAATCACATGTTAATATACTTATATGCATTATTAGTACATAAAAATAGTTCTCAAAGTTCTTATACGGGCAATTCATTTCCAAGTTCAGCAACAAGTTTCATTATTCGCTACTTTGAAAGAAAATAAATAAAAGCGGTAGAGCGTATAAAATGTTTGAAACCCTTTAAAAACTTAAAATTAAATATTAATTTTAACCGAAATAATTGTTCTTTTAAAATTTAGCTATCTACAACAAAATGGTGCAATCAGAGACTCAGGAGCCCATCGAAGGTGATACAGCAACCAGCAAGAAGGCGGCCAAGAAAGCCGCTAAAGCTGCAGAAAAACAACAGAAAAAAGCCGACAGTAGGGTAAATAATATTCAATTTCTTTAATTTCTTTCATTCTGCTGGATTTTGTTATTTTTTAAGTTTATGAAACATTTCATATATATATATGAACACTGATCCACTCCAGGTTTGGTCAAATAAGTTAATGATATAATGACACATTAAAGTATTTATTTATATTTATATAAGTGACTTACTCTCACTTTGCTTAAATAAGTTCCTAAGCGCCTTTAGTATGGATTAATATTATTTACCTAATTTTTTATTTCCAAAGGATTATTGCCTAAAACTTAATTTGCACATTTTTAATTTACAGGCCGCCACTGCACCTGAAGCACCTGAACCAGATGTATCTGAAGGCAAATATGGCAATCTCAAGATGATCCAATCGTCGGGGGAGAATAGGGAGAGATTGTATACCGACGTGAAGGACCTAGGTGTTGCATTGCATGGCAAAAATGTGTGGGTTCGAGGTTAGTTGAGTTGGTTATTGTTTTTTTCTCTTTCTCTTGTTGTAAGATGTAATGACATATAATATGATGGTGACATGCTTCTAATATGTGTTTTAATGAGTTACAATATCATACCACCCTCTTTTCCGCATCAAAAACAGAATTCATAATTCTCAAAAAAAAAATTATATATAAAGATAGATATTGGATATTAAAGTAATTTAAGATTTAGGGGTTTCATTTTATGTTTTGTCATAAATTATGGGAAAAGCTGTATTTTTTTTATATTTTGTGTTTATATTATAGTCTAAGGCTATGGTAACGCATTATCTTGGGAAACACGCGACGACGGCTCGCACTTGACCAATTCTTTATTTCCAGCACGTCTTCAAACATCCCGTGCCAAAGGAAAACAATGTTTCGCAGTACTTCGTCAGAGCTCTAGCACTGTACAACTCTTGGTCAGTGTGAATGAAAATGTTAGCAAGCAGATGGTCAAGTTTACTGGAAAGTGAGTACTTTAGTGTTATAGAATTTAAAAATACACACACATTATATATATCTATACATACATAAACAATACCTTTGAATACATCTCACTCAACTTATTCGTCCTAGCAAATTCCGTTTAACATATTTCTAGTACAAAAGTCTGTATTTAATACATATGAACATATCCATGATAACACATCCGTGATGACATCTGTCTGTGCCATCATATTTGTAGTGATATATCCACTTTAATATATCAATGTTAACACATCCATTTTAACATATCCAGGTTAACATATCAACGTCACCACATCCGGGCTAGCACATCTGGGTTAATATATTTGTGTCAACATATCCGGGCTAACATATCCGATCCAACATATCATTGTCAACATATCCATTCATCATATCCATGTCAATATATGTATCCAGCCTAACATATCCGATCCAACCTATCCGTGTCAACTTATCCGGGGAAGCATATCCGATCCATCATATCAGTGTCAATATATGTATCCGGGCTAATATATCCGATCCAACATATCTGTGTCACCATAACTGGCCTAAAATATCCGTGTCAACATATTATGTTTGTTGATATATAATATATCTGGCTTTCGTAACAATATTCCTGTAAAATATCAAACGATTATCGTGACATATTACTTATTAAATGTTTTTTTTCTCGCCATTTATTTTAGCATTACAAAAGAGTCTATAATCGACGTGAACGCGACAGTAGTGAAGACGGCGTCCCCGGTCGAGTCCTGCACAATACAAAATGTGGAACTGTCAGGGCTCCAAGTGTGGCTCGTGTCGGGGGCGAAGTCCCAATTGCCGTTGCAAGTGGAAGATGCGGCTAGGCCCGAGAGTGATGTGAGTTGTTTGTTTTACCTCAAAAGAAAAGAAGGAAAGGGTTCCTTCCTATATAGGGATATACTCATATAGGCTCACTTCGTTGTCTGTTTGTCTGTATATCAACTCTTTTTCTCAAGAACGCGTGGAGCTATAAAGTTAAAATTTATATGAAATACTCGGGTCTGCAATTCCTCGGTGCTGTAAAAATATCAAACTTCTAAGTCAAAGCAATCAAATCACAATTTACTTTAATGTAATGTAAAGTAAAGTGGACTCGTTATTCGCACTTAGACTCCCTTCTGGTCCGTTAAAATATACTTTATTCGATTATATGTACTTTAACAAGCACATTACATAAATTTAAATCGTCAATTTTACATTTTAAATTTAAATTAAATATCAGTGTAGTCAATCTGTGAAGAATCTACGTTGGTACATTCCTTACAGACTGATATGGACTGACTGACTATATGATTACTATATGACTGGCTCGGAATGCAGTTCTGCTGAGAAGAACCGGCGAGAAACTCAACACTTGCTCTTTTAAAATAATAATTGTGTACAATATTGTAATGCAATAATTATGTATTTATCCTACGGGAGACCCAACCAGGCATTAGTCCCATACATTGATATCTACGAAGTATCCCGTGATGGTATAATAAGCCTTATTCATTAATACATTTTTAATTTTAGACTTAAATTGTTTAAATGGCAAGCTCAAAATGGATTGTGGAATTCTATTATACATATGTAGTCCTTGCACCATAAACGATCTATTCACTTTTTGATAGCGAAAACTAGGTGTTATCAGCTTATTCTTTTTAATTAAAAGTTTAATTTTTAATCAAAACATGCAGCCGTTTATGTCGCATATTTTGACACTCGCAAGTTAATCAAAATCTATAGGGCATTTCCCGTAGAAATTTGGCAAGAAGCAAACCGAAAATTTGTAATTTTGGTGTAAAATTTTTTTGTGATTATAAACTTATTTTAATGTTTCATGCTAAATAACCGGTGTGCGAGTCAGACTCGCACTTTGTTATGGGAGAGACTAAGGTTTTAGACGTCTCTAAGGTCTTTATAACTGTGGAGAAATAATATATATTAAAAGTTTTATTTAGTGGAAATATTAACTATTTATGGAATCAGTTTTGTGTTCAGTTCCTTTTTATTATACCGTTTTTAGTGTAACTAATTAACATTTTATAGTTAGTAAATTGTAATAAAATTAAGGTAAAATATGGAGAAGTCTAACTTATACTTTAATGAGTATGTAATAACTTCGAAAATCATGTGAAATGCTGTAAAAATCCATATCTAAAACCTATGTATACTTGTTAAAGACGGCACCTATCCACAAAATTATATAATGACATCAAAAAATCTAAAAATGGTACAAAAGTTATAATACTTGTTAAGTTTTAAATACTAAACGATCCCTATTTTTGTAAAATTAAAAAAAAAATTTTTTTCTTATAGATGTTCTTATGATGTAAATAGTATATTCCCAAAAGGTTTTCAGTTAATTAAAAATGATTCTGTGTATTTTTTTTCTAGGTAACAATACTAAAATATTGTAACCTAATATTATTACGATCTAGCCAAAAAGGCTAATAAGTAATTTAACTCGAACTTAGTTTTATAAAACAATATATCTAAAGAATGTGTCCAATGACACTTTTCTTATAGTCTCTAGTTAAGGGGAAGACCTTTGTTCTTGTGTTCTATATTTATAATGCTAATGCGATATATGAATTCCCAAATCAGGACCCAGAAGCACTCAAGATAAGAGTGAACCAAGACACGAGACTCGATAACCGCGTGCTTGACCTGCGCACGCCCGCAAACCAGGCAGTGTTCCGGATCGAGGCCGGCGTGTGTCGCCTTTTCCGTGATATACTTACTAAACAAGGTTAGCTTGTACACACATACATATAGGGTGGAGAGAAAAATATATTTTTTGTTGTTTTTTTCTTAGCTTGGGGGTAGGATTTGTAGCTTATAAATTTCAATATTATTGAAATAAAAAATCAATTTTTTACTCAACATTTTGAGGTAGCCCACTCATTTTAAAAATAAATAATTAATAGAAATTGTTGGGTTGAATGGAATTTTTTTTTCGCTTGATCACCTTTGATAATATTCAAGAATTGACGAATACAGCCATTTTCTTCTCAACTTCTACATAACTAGCGGCTCACCCCACCTTTGCTCAGGTTTGTCTCTAGAAAAATCTATCCGACAGGAACCGTGTTCCGGGATAAAAAGTATCCTATATGCCATAATCTATATCTGTGCCAAATTCAATCCAGACCCATACAGACGTTCTGGCTTGATTGAGTAAATTTGAATTGAATTATAATATAGTATTTTGTTAGATTTACGCGAATATTTTACAATTTTATAAATGAAACAGTCTTTTCGAGGATTTCTTTTCAAAAGATAATTTCATTTAAACTTCATAATATTATCACAGGTTTCGTAGAAATCCACACACCGAAGATCATATCGGCAGCCTCCGAAGGCGGTGCTAATGTGTTCACAGTTTCGTATTTCAAGACATCTGCTTATCTCGCCCAAAGTCCTCAGTTGTACAAGCAGATGGCTATCGCGGCCGATTTTGATAAGGTTTGTGTTAAAACAATCATCATTTATATACATTACTTGGGACGAACCTTCACTCCGCTACTTACTTTTTAACGTTTAGTATAGATTTCTCAGCGATGAGATATTTTCCCCCAGTAAAAAATATCCTATATGTTGATTCGGATACCCAGTTATCGTCATACTAAATTTTATCAAAATCTGTCCAGTGGTTTTCTTGTGATGCGTTCCCAGATAGACAGACAGACAAAAATTCTAAAAAACTATAGATTCGGCCTCTATATCGACAATAATGACAATTTCAATAAAATTTTCCAAAAATATTTAATGTACAGATTTGACTCAGAATTATATGTATAGGTAGACTAGCGACGCACGAAAACATAGCATAAAAACTACCCTATATCCTTCCCAAGGTCTCAAACTATCTTCTTACCAAATTTCATCTAAATTTATTCAGTGATTTCGGAGCTTATTCGGTACAAACAAACAATCTTTCCTCTTTATAATATTAGTATTATTATAGTATATCAATGGTGTAGATATAATATGTTCTACAGGTGTTCACTGTGGGGGCGGTGTTTCGAGCTGAAGATTCTAACACTCATAGGCATTTGACAGAATTCGTGGGCCTCGACCTTGAGATGTCCTTTAAACACCATTACCACGAGGTGTTGGACACCATCGCTCAAACTTTCACCGATATGTTCCGGGGGCTGAGGGATCAGTGAGTGGGGGCTGTTTTTTTGGGGGCTTTTTCTGATTTAAAATCTGTTTTTTTTTAAACCGTTTGGCGGTTTTGCTTGGCCGTTGGGCGAGTGTTTGGTTTTTGTGTGCCACGAAATCTGAGCCGATTTATTGAAATTTTATTTCAAGAGTGGCTACATCAAAATACTGATTTCCAGATATTAAGAAAATAAAAACCGGCTTCTAGGTTTCGTTACCACTGGGCTACCATTGCCTTCAATATTTATTTATTTGAATATGAAAGAGAAACTCGATATCGTGTCGTGTGTTGAGAGAGAGCGCGTACACTAGTACACTGTTTCTTGTACTCTTACAATACAGCAGGAGACATCCGGAGGTCCTGGATTCGAGTCCCGGGTCGGATTTGTATTTGGTCCTGTCTTTTTAGTACGCTTTTTAACGTAGTCGGTTTTTTTATTTAATAATTTTATATTAATGAACAGATTTGCGGCAGAAATAGCGACTGTGGGCCAACAGTACAAGGTGGAACCGTTTAAGTTCCTCGACCCGCCCCTCCGCTTAGAGTTCCCTCAAGCAATACAACTGTTGAAAGAGGCTGGTGAGTTATGCTCTTATGTCTTTGTATTTATAATGCTATATTCAGGTACCGACTGCAGCGCCCCCTACCGGATCCATTTGTGAATTCAAACCTTACTGGGACCCACTCAAACATACACAAAAATCATCATTAAAATCGTCCCTGCCGTTTAGGAGATTATCAGTGGCACAACGACTGCAGCGCTACCTACCGGGTTCAGTTGTGTTTTATATATATTAAGGCATTTTGATTAGTTATAATATAACTCTGGTATCCGCCGCAACACCGAAGAAGTTTTACTTCAACCGCGCGTAAATGTTACAAGCAATCGTTATTTTTCCACCCCAGGTGTGACGGTAGGTGAAGAAGATGACCTGTCGACCCCAGATGAGAAGCTTCTAGGTCGTCTGGTGAGGGCCAAATACGACACGGACTTCTATATTTTGGACAAATATCCACTCGCAGTGAGACCATTCTACACGATGCCTGATCCCAATAACCCGGTAAGTAAGCAAGCTGTGCGTTTAAGCACACGTATTGTAAGTCTTAATTGGACCCAGTTATGCAAAAAACAGCCATGTGCGTAAAAGTACCAACAGAGTTATAAGCATTTTTCTGTCGATAGTTGCACTTGGGTTATGTTTTGTTTTTCTGGTTATTTTAAAATTGAACAATATTTATATAAGTATTGTTTATTTTTTATAATTATTTTATTTTTTATAATAAAGTACTTATAACTCTGTTGGTACATTTACGCATATGGCTGTTTTTTTGCATAACTTGGTCCAATTATTTTTTTATGTTTTTAATAAATGATGTAAAGTGTGTATCTTTTGTTGGAGGTCCTTAATAAAATAAAGTGTTTTTGGTGTTACAGCATTTCCCATGTTCAATATAAGCCAATAGGAATCATGTAAGCCGATTCCCATTCGGCTTGCCTTTTGAAAATGAGTCGTACATTTTAAAATAAAGTTGTCTTTTCTGGATTTATTATGACTTTCTCGTTCTCGATGATTGTGATGTGTTTGTGATTACTTTTCCAAAATTAAAGTAGCCCAAGTTACTCCTTATAACATTAGCTGTCTGCCAGTGAAAGTCCCGTCAAAATGGGTCCATCCGTTACGGAGATTAACCGAAACAGACAGACAAAAAAATTTAAAATTGTGGTCTTCTTTTAAGTACCATATATTAAGTTGTTATTTTGACATTACAAACGGACACTTCAATTTTATTTATCTGCATAGATAATATTTAAAAATTTGTTACAGAAAGCTTCAAACTAATATTTAAAAATTTGTTACAGAAAGCTTCAAACTCGTACGACATGTTCATGCGAGGTGAAGAAATATTGAGTGGCGCTCAGAGAATACACGACCCGGAGTTTCTCACTGAGAGGGCGAAACATCATGGCATTGGTAAGACTAGCTACACACTCACTCACTCGAGTCCTTACATGTCTAACAGTAGCCTATCGCCGGCCTAATTCGTTGTTAACCTGTTAAGTCCGTTTTTGAGCGAATTTTTAACCCCCGACGCAAAAACGGTGGGGTGTTATAGGTTTTTTTTAAGCCAACCTATCACTACATATTAAAAAACAAAGTCCTCCGCCGCGTCTGTCTGTCTGTTCGTCTGTTCGCGATGAACTCAAAAACTACTGCACCGATTTTCATGCTGTTTTCACCAATGGAGAGAGTGGTTCTCGAGGAAGGTTTTAGTATATAATTTGTTAAGTTTTTGTATACATTGGAGGTATCGGAGAACAATATGCCATTTGAGATATAACAAAATAATGTATGGTGGAATTGTGTATCTTATATAGATCTACAGAAAAGTCCGCGATGGCATATGTCTATCTCTTAAGGATAACATACTATTCCATTTTAATTTCAAACGTAATGTTATACATATATCTAGGTTACTGAAATGTATTTTGAAGCTCAAGATCTACATGTTTATTTTTGGTAATTTGTAAAAATAAATTGTTTATATTTTTTTTCTAGATATCAGCAAAATAGCTGCGTATATCGAGTCGTTCAGGCTTGGCTGTCCTCCTCACGCTGGTGCGTTATATTTTATAGATATAATTGTATTAATTATTCCGTCGTTTTTAATGTCCTTTATTAAAAAATAATTAAAATGATTTAGAATACACATAGTTATTGAAATCATACTCCTATTGGGCACGTTTAGAAAAATTATGAGAGTAAAATTTTTACGATGCGCGCGCACTCAAGTTAGCATTCCTTTTACAAGCAGATTGTTGTGACATACGGGATGAAATCTATAGCTATTTTTGTTCTGTTACGCCAAAGAAGTATAACTTCTTACGTGCGTACATAAGTACACACACTCATCGTTTTTTTTTACTATCTTAATTTAAACATTATTTTAAAGTCAAGCTGTCTGTTAATGACAAGTTTTTCCCATACGATATATTTTTTATACATTTTTTTCCAGGTGGCGGCATAGGTCTAGAACGGGTGGTGATGTTGTACCTAGGTCTAGATAATATTCGCAAGACCTCAATGTTCCCCAGAGACCCAAAACGAATTACTCCCTGAATACATACACAAGTTTTTTCATAATAAAAGTATTTATCCATTTGAATTGTTTTTTTATTTATAAGCTTTGAATGTTTAAACTCAAATTTACAAATTTACTTTTGGCTCGCTAACTTCGCTCTGCGTTTTCGGATAGGATATAAAAATTGCGTTTTATCTGTAAAGTACACCTATATAGGTAAACTATAAAAATTGATCCAAATCGAGATACACAAATATATATTAGGTATACAAGAATTGTTCATAAATACTGTCAGTTTGTAATGTCAAAATGACAGCTTTTTACTAAATGCGCAATTATATATGAATTTGAATAACCACATCTTTTAACTCATTTTTTAACAATGGGACAACAATTAAAAATGTTGTCTGTATGTTTGTTTGTATGTGTGCGTTTCACGTTAAAAGGAGTGAACCGATTTTAACATATTTTTGTGAAGATACAAGTGATAACTCGAATCAACATTTAGGATAGCTTTTACTACAAGTAAATTTTTCATTCCCACAGGAAAACAATAACTGGTTCTATCGAGTCGTCCTTACATCTTTATTTTGCCAACGTTGGCTAAACCATAAGAGATACATAAAAACAATGTACTATAAAAAATTGTAGGTCTTATAAAGGCCTATAGAAATGTCTACAATACCATATATCCTAAGGTACCTACACACATTTGTAATACTTATTTTTATTATATTATATAAAAGGCAATGTGACTGACTGACTTATCAACGTTCAGCCCAAGCCGATGATGATAGATTTAAAAATTTGGAGATGATATAGATTTTATACTGTAAGCATCATTTAAGTAAGGATTTTTCGAAATTAATCCTCTTGGGGAATAAAATAGGATAAAAAATGTAACCAGGATAAAATAAAACGCCCATTATGAATAATCCATATATTACAATATAGTATTCTTATCGTATGTCCGTATATCACACTTGCTCGCAGAGCGTTACGTATCCGCACTATTACTATTGCTGGTAACATTAATAAGCCTTTAAACATTGTTTTTACCAATATACTATATAACCTTATTTAAAGTAATTACAAAACATTTTACATTCAAAATAATTCAATTATTTTGTTTATGGCTTTGAAAATATACACGCGTGTCAACTAAAACATACGCAAGGTAAATCAGTAATTTAAAAAAAATATGAAAATACAATTTTTACTCTATATTATAATTGTTTAAATGCAAGGCTAATGTCAAAAATATTGACAGTTGAATTTTTTGTCGGGAACTCTTCAAAGTTAAATAACCGTTTTCCTATGATTATTTATTTCAATTTTAAGTACTTATTAGTATGTAATTTTAATAATGTTACCAGCAATAATAATATTCCCATTCAAAAATCATCCATGACCGAACACAATAATATTTGAATGTCTTAATTAAAACTTAAACATACTTAATACATTACAACTAAAATATAACAGTAAAAGCCTGTTTGAATATTGTTTTAAATTAAATGCTTATATATTTTATTACATGATTATTTTCCTTACTAGATTATTTTCGATTTGATGTTTTGTGTATATATGAAGTAAATAACTTGACAATAACTAAGATTTTGTTAGACCCATTTTGAAAATTATATTTTTTTTGAAAATAATTAAGTCGATGGGACATTTTCCATGACGCATATGTGGATGGGTAACCTTTTCAATTTGCTATTTCTGAGTATGAGTTATTATTAAGTTTTTCCTCTAACAGATCATAAGACACTTGTCAAATTATTCACTTATTTAATTCAGATAAAAATAAATATGGATCGGCTTTAAAATATAATAATAAAATAAAGCCTCCATTACAATTGCATAATAATTATTGATTAGATTTAGGAACATTAACACATTGGTATGTGGAAATAGAAACATAATTTAGCACCTATTGTTCATATCAAATAAGAAAAAGTGTTAGGAAAAGTGTTTTCATATTATGTATCTTATACTAATATATTGATAGTCTTCAATATTCTGAAAAAGTACAGATATACATATGTACATGTGTAGATATCTATCTATCTCTCTCTTAAGTGTTTCAGAATTTTCTGTGCATGTTGGAAAATAAGCACTCATATGTATGTGTTAGTTATTATAGTTTATATATATGCACCAATTACTCTATTTATTTGAATAGTAAGAAAAGAGATAGACAAATTCATTTTCTATTCCACTCACTCCAATATCCTTTCATGTACAGGCCCAATATAGGAGTATTAGATATACATATGATTTACACTAGGATTTTTTTAATGACAGATAAAATAAAATGAGATTTTTAATTATTAACTTAAATGTACAGAATCAAAATATTTTTAATACTGGTTATATTATTAATAACTAAGGGGCAAGTTATTGATAGGTTTTGACACTCGCTTCGTTTTTTTTAATAATATAAGACACTGAATAAATGTAATTGAATTAAAAAAAAACAAGAGAGATTCAAAGTTATTAATGTTAGGCCAAATTCAATGATTATTTCTTGCAAAAAATAAATATTTCTGATAATGCATATTTTCCATATTCAAAGTTACACAAACCCAGTGTCAAATGAAAAGTTGAGAGTGATATTTAAAAAATGCATGATACAGTTTAAATTTCTTAGAATGCCTTCATTATATGTATACATATGTAGAAAATTTCTATATATAAAATCTACTGTATACATTTAATCACATGAAATCAATCATAAAAATGAATTTTACAAAATTGACATAATAATCTACTTTTCGTTCAAAATCTTATCAAAAAATGTCAAATCCATATTATGATTTAAGAACACTTAATACATTATTATAAATAAAAAGATGAATATTTTTTAAAAAAGAAAACCTATATTTTGCGATATTATTTTTATTTTGAGTTTTTGTTACTGAGTTTCGAATGCTTTACAGCAACCATGGTCAGGTAGAGATTAAAGGCTTTTAGCGGTTTTATGAATTAATAAAAGTAAAACCGCAAAATAATTACAAATAATACTTTTTTTAAAAAAGATAGACTGCAAAATTTGAAATGACTGCAGTAAAAAAACAAACAATTTCTACCTCACACTATTGACTTTTAAATTGGACAGTGTAATATAAGAAATAAGTACTGACTATTCATATTATAGAATACATATTATTTCAAAAATTAAAAGCTCTAAAGAGATATCATATTTAGAATAATATAATAATAATATCCAAAAATAAATACATTTTTCTACAAATATTAGACTTGTTTAAGGAAGGATTAATGAAATATTTAAGTAATTAATTTTATAAAAAGCAAAAATATTAGAAAAATGTATTTATTTTATATAAAAGAATCATATTTATTCAATAATTTTAAGAAAAATCAAGCAAAAATATTATTTGTTTCAATGATGCATTAAAAATTATTCTATTAAGTAGCTATGTGTTAAACCAAAATTAAGTATTTGCGTAAATTATTTTGATGGTGTTGCTATTTATATATTCGAGACGATTAATGCACAATACTTTGATATTTTGTACTGGACAATTAAAATTAAAAAAAAAAACAAGAAAAAGGTCTATGACTCTTAGCCGAAAAATGATAATTTTAAACCTTCTACATATTAGTTTACAAAACACTACTCTAATTTTGACACCCACAGACAATACAGTACAAAGTATCATAATATTTTTTTGTCTATGAAAAATAAATTTGAGCTTTACCTAAGTACATCACAATAGTTTCGATCAATATGACCAACATCCAAACACTTAACGCAACAACTACACTCCAAATATAATTTTTGGATAACTTTTGTAGCCACAATTTCCATCACTTCCAATAACACTTTGATTCTATTGAATAACACTTTAAATCCGTTGGATAACACTTCTTCGTAATATGATTATTGGCCATTATATTTATACGAATTCTTGAGTAACTTTTGTAGCCACAACTTTTGATCACTTCCAATAACATTAGACTGCCACTTTTAGATAACACTTTGAATCCTTTGAATAACACTTCACTAATACAACTGTTGATCATTTGTTTATATGATTTTTGAAAACACTTTTTTTTATAGGATCGTTAACACTTTTACACTTGTTACTTAAGGCCTATGTATCACCGAATAAGTTTTTAAGATCATGTTCGTATAGCGCTATGACCAGCATTATGCCAATACCAGTGGCCAGACCCATCAGTTGTAGGATACATTGGCAAAGCGTGCCCTCTTTGCTGTGTGACGTGCTTAGTTCAGGCATCTGGAAATTAAAAGTAACTATTTGTTAATAAAAATAAAATTTTAACGTAAACGACACTACCCCCAAATCTCCCCTACGGCATCACCCCCCAAATGTCCCCCACTATATCACCCCCAAATCTTACCCACGATATCATCCCCAAACCTCCCCCCCTCAAAACCATATCCATAACCACTCACCATATCAACCAGCGCAATATACAAGAACATGCCAGCCGCCGCCGCGAACAGCCAGCGTGTGGCATTGGGCAGGTGTCCCGCCAACACGCCGCACACCATACCCGCCAAGCACAGCGCCGAGGAGAGCACGTTGTAGCACACGGCGCGTTTCACCGACATACCCGCTTTGAGGAGCACCGCGAAATCCCCTGGGAATTTGGGAAATTGCTGAGTTATCATCGGCTGGAAAGTTTTGGTTGCGTAAATAAATACAAAAAAATACATAATACTTAATAAATTAAATATTTTTTATTTATTTATTATGTAATGGAAATAAAACCAAAAATGAAATTAAATGCAATATATATTAAGAGCTTGGTTTTTATTAATTAATTTTAGTAAATAATAATACTCCCTAAAACCTTCGTTGATCTGAACATAATTAAAAAAAATATATACAACTTTGGCTGGAGTGAAAGAATATACAAAGTTAATTAAAATATCTTACCTAATTCATGTGGTAGTTCGTGACAAAGAACGGCAATAGCTGTAGAAAAGCCACCAGCAATATTCGACGCAAATGCCGCTCCTAGAAGTAGATATGAAGACATTTTAACAAGTTATTGATTAATTGAAATGATGTTCTCCTAGCCGATTCCGGCTACGGCGGCCAATCTCATTGAGACTAGCCAAGTGCGCAGAAGATATTATAGTGCACAATTGTACGCGCAGACACAAGTGCACTCTCTATTCCTGTCACTCTCATACTCCGGTGGGACGACTGCTCGACACGACCAGTGAGAGTTAAGGCGCAGGACCGACGGCTTTACGCGCTCTCCGAGGCACGGGGGTGACACACCACCAACTTCCCAACTCCGGGCTGTTACTGAGACTTACTATACAGAAAGACTCAATAACTAAACTTGGCCCGACCCGGGACTCGAACCCAGGACCTCCGAGTGTGCAGCCGTACATGCTAGCCACTACACTACCGAGGCAGTTATATATATAATATATATAATATATACACACACACAAAAGGAGCAATTTTCTTTGTTTATTTTATATTTTAAAATAGTAATCTGCTCTGTGTATTGTTTAAAAATTAACACATTATCCAAATAAACTATAAAACAAAAAGCCCGTTTAAAGAAAAAACATCAAATCTCGTTTTATAAATACTCCCTCAAAAATTAAAAGAACAAAATAATCAAAACTTCAAAGAACCCCCATAGAATACGAAAAAAACCGCACTTACCAATAGCCATGCCATCAGTGAAGTTATGGAGACCGTCCCCCATAATGACCATCCATGCAACCGACGACATGGAGGAAGGGGGCGCGTGCACGTGACCGTGCGCATGAGAGTGGCCGTGATGGGCTCTAGAATGTTCTCTGGAATAGAAGATGATGTAACTTGGTTAAAATCACAATCCGACTGCTATCATAATAGCAAAGCGTGTGTGTATGTTTGTTACTCTTTCAAGCTAAAAGGGATTGACGGAATTGGATAAATTTTAGCACACAGATAGACTATAACCTTGAGGAACATAAATAGGTTTTAGCAAAATGTTCAAATTAATTGCGCAATATTAAAAGTATATGCCACCTAGGGACGCACCCAAGCGAATCAAAATGGTAAGTTGCTAGTTAGCCATAAACGCTGCATAATTAACAACCCCACTAGATTTCTCTGGGGTGACCTATACACGGCACATACTGAAATAAAAAAAATATCCAATTGACTCAATAAAAACTAATTTAAATATGTCTCTTACCTGAGAATAACCGTATAGCTGTCTCCATCTTTCAGATCTTTCGCATTTTCCTCTTTATGTTTAATATTGTTCATTTCTACAACCGCAGGAGTGGACTCAGCTTTAAGAAGCCAGTCTTTGGCTGTAGGTTCATTTTCTTTTCCCTCAGGATTTAAAGCATTAGAAGAGACCACGCTAACTGAGTTATTGTGGTTCTTAGCAGTAGCCTTAGGACTTGGCGGAAGACCGTCTCTTAAATGATGATCATCATGAGTATCCGTATCTATTTCGTCATAACAATATGGGTATTCTGAATACTTATGTTTACACGTTTTCGTTGTTGGATCGCCTTTTTCATCCCTCTTGAATATTTTCAACAGTGAATTCGATGTGGCGTTACTTATAGCTGCTTTCGAACCTCCGGAACATCCCCCGACTGTTTCATCTTTAAGCACTCTCACCCTTGAGGGTAGTTTATCGTCTTCCAACTTTTGGCGACGTTTGCGCCATTCTACGACAACTGTTAGACCCTTTTCGGTGAAATAGAAGAACACAACACCTAACATAGCTGCTAAGCCTTTCCACATTCCATCATCGTGAGATGCTCGAACTTCTAGAGCATTTTCATCATGACTGTGGTCTGAAGGGCTCATTGCGTGTGGCATTAGATGCAGTAACGCATCACCACATAGTGTACCAACAGCTAGAGCTACCAAAAATTGTAGTATATGATTATAATACGTCTTATGCATAATAGGTATGACGGCTACGCCAAGTAAGCCGCACGCACTGATCGCTGTTATACTTAGAGACGAGTATAACCACACAGCAAACATATTTTTTGAGTAGGCATTCTCTTTATCAGCGATTTTATTAAGTCTACTTGGTAGGTATGTTTCTTTTACGCAGCCGCCTCTTTCTATAGAGGTATTTGCTAGTTTTTGGTACAGTAAGATGGGGCATATAGCCTGAAGGGTTCCCTCTGATATGAGGTCTTCTTTATCATGATGGTGATCATTATGATCATGACCGTCATCGTGTGGTTTTAATCTAGTGTTGACTGTTGTGATTAATTCTGCGCTGCTTACACACTGTAATGGACAATATAAAAAAAACAATTACTATATGGATATAGAAAGCAATGTCTATGATTAATAACCATATTACAAACAGTGTAGGGGAATAACCACTTTAGATATAAATATTTCGATGAAAAAAGTATCCGTAATTGTCTTATCATTTACGTAAACATAATTGATAACAGCTTTATAGGGCGATGGTGATTATAAATATAAGTTTATGAAAAATTGTATTAATTTTTAGTAGCATACTAAGTTAAAGCAATTATCAAAAAATTATAAAATAACATAAGTATTATAATATAGCATATAAATCTACTTCCAAAATCCTAATTGTCCAAAAACTTGGTACCCATTAACAAATAAAGTTAAATGTTATACTTACATTTACAACATCTTCTTTAACTCCACTTTGCCCGTAAATATAGTCCTTATTCTCAACTTTTTGTACACCACCCTCAGTGAGTTTATGCAGATCAAGACCTTCCAGCATCTTATTGAAACCAGTCAAATTCATTGTCATGGACCCAGCATCACCGTACAATCTGAATATCTGTTCCACATACGCATCAGGATTTACGTTCCTAACTTCTCTCTTCTGTCTTATCTTCTGCAGTTTCTTTTGATATCTTAATTTTGATTCGATACTTCTTTTTTCGAGATGTAACGGTGTATGATCTATTTGAAGAGTCGGTTGGTACGACTGTATGTCATTTTTGAGGTTGACATGTGAACCGCAGGTGTGCGCTGCGCACAACAGGCAGAACATGCAGACGGTGACTAAATGATGAGACATCGTGATTGACATTTATAGTCCAGGGTCAAGATTGTGTGTTCATATCTTGTTGGATCTGTGGACAATTGAGAGTGGATATTATTTACGACGTTATTTTTATAGAAAAGGGTAAACGAGCAGACGATCCACCTGATGGTAAGTGGTTATCATTTTTTGATATTATACTGACAATAACATAAATCTTCTAAGCAATATTACAGAATTCATCTATCACATTTATTTTGGAGGTTTTCTTATATTTTGTTTATCGATCTTTAAAAAAATTATTACCACTCTTCAAACTTAGCACGATTTCATCGACATTGACAGTACGAAATATTCAACAGTATAGATTAGTCAAAAATGTTGGTAAGATGTAGGCTCATCTTACCAACATTTTTGACTAATCTGTGTATATTATCATACAATACGTTTTAGAAATAGCATTTATTTTTTTAATGCAATAAATGTTGTTACAGCTAGTGACTCGACATCTCTTAATAAGAAGCCATGCATTGGAATCCTCGTAGCATAAACATAATAAGATACATGTGACCCTGAAGAGTAACTATGATTTTTTAAAAGACGGTCTCATATCCCTAATTAAATAGGTAACTACAGTAAAATATAAATCTTCTTCTTGATTTTTAGTTCTAGACCTTTCAAATGCTTTACAGCAATCATGGTCAAGGGAAAGACGCGAAAAATTCCGAAAAGATAGTTTTATTTAAAATGTCAAATGTTCGCGTACATTTACTAAAGTATTATAGTAAAATACCCAAAAAAAACAAGTAGGTTTTGCGATTCGTCATAATGAATGTAATGAGCGCAAACTAGAAGGTTGTAGTTGAAGCCATTTAAAAGTTCCATTATCCTTCAACTGGCTTCATCATCAGATCTGCTGCATGGTATCAAATGACTGTATTGTCAAGATTGAAACACAAACTAGTAGTAGGTTAAATGAAATCTGCTTACCATTTAAACAAGTATCTCATAATACTACAAATCGAGGAGTGGTCGAGAGTCGACCATAATCATTATTGAAAATTTGATATGAAATAAATATTGATAACACTAAAAAGCTCGTTAAAACCACTCAATAAAAAAAAAAGAAAATCGGTTGACAAACAGAGGAAAAAAGGTACAGAACTGTTTTGTCTTTGCCTATTTATAATATATACAGCAAAGGATCTCGAAGTCTACTTAAGACCTAGGCGAAGCCAGATTGGTATGTTATTTAAATAACACGCCTTGTCGTTTTTTTATCATGGTTATGGTACTCTGATATACGCGTAGTAGTACATTTTCCGTATACCGACCCTCAATTTGACCTCTAATTGCGCTTGATCGTATCTTTGAACTACTAATTAGTTAAAAGATTTTCTGTGCACTCATTTTCGTTTTAATTAATTTTAATTAAACGTAGTGCTGGTAAAGTTAGTTTGAGCCACGATTCTTTAATATACTGACGACATGTTATCGAGTCACGTAATGTGGACATTACAAGTCTCCAATATTAAAAAAGGGGAGGTACATCGACTTAAAATTACTTCAAAAGTAATAAACAAACTTCAAAAGTAATAAAAGCAAGGAATAAACAGACAGACAGACAGACGAAAATAACATCAGCTATCTGCCAGTGAAAGTCTCGTTCGAATCGGTTCAGCAGTTTCGGAGATCAGCTAGAACACACAGACAGACAAGAAAAATTCTAAAAATTGTATTTTTTTTTGTAAGTACTATATCTACGAGTATACAGATAAATAAAATTGAAGTGTCTGTTTGTAATGTCAAAATAACAGCTTTTTTAATTACCTGTAGGTATAGATAACTATAGTTTGAAAAACTTAAAAAAATATGTCTTTGACCATTAATTGCTCAATATATGGTAAAGTAATCGATAAGGAACAAGTAAGCAAGTTACAAGTGATACTTTAAAGTGTGATGCGCGATTAAGCAGAGAGACAGACAAAAAATAATTATAAAAAAAATGGCATCGATCTTTAAAATATTCACCGAATACTATGTTACAAAGAGTTATTACAACTGCAAACTTCATGTAGTTACAATTTCACTATAGCAGTATTTATATGACGTAAGTACATACGTCATATAATAAAAATGAGACTTGTTAGTCTTGTTATACCACGATTTTCACATAAAAAAAATACAATAAACATATATCAAAGTAAAAATTATATACAATTTTATGCTTAAAAATATTTCGTTTGAATAAAATAGTTTTTTGAGAATTACTCATTAAGGGGTGTTTTCTTTTTTTTTATTTATATGAGACCATCTTTAAGACATAATCTAGTCATTAAAAAAGAAGTATAGGATTTAAATTTTGAAGTCTTTTATTTGAAGTCGGTTAAAAATTTAACTAAGATTTACGCGAATATTTAACATATTTTTTAAACAAACTATCTTTTCGTGAATTTATTTAGATTTATGGTTCCCGACATTTCTAATGCTATTAAATTAGTAAAAAATACGTTACAAAGATTTCGATCGTTTTTTATTTAACATATAAACCTATTGTAAAAAACCCTATATAAAATATAAAAAAAACCATTGTGATAAATATTTATCAAGGAACTGAAGAGGCTTTATTATTATTTATATTATTTATCGATATCGATTGTAGATAAATTACTTGCTTGCTCATCAAACCTGCACTACAAGTTCACTTTTTGCATACCAACCTTGTGGCACATAACCATCAGTTATTTGACGAATCTATCAAATCAACTGCGCTCCGGAACAAAATGATTACATTCTACTTACAATTAGTGTTTGATCATTAAAATTAAATTAAATTACTGTTTCTTTCTTTTATTTTATAAATAAAGTCGTATTTGTTATTTTAGGTAATATAGACAAATAAATAACATTGAAGTGTCTATTTGTAATGTCAAAATAACAGCTTTTTATTATTTTACTAGCGGAACCCGCGGCTTCGCTTGCGCTAATACTATGAAACAATTTCTAAAAATGTAGTTTCATACAAATTTTCATCCCCTATTTTACCTACTTATAGGATGAATTTCAGAAAATTCTAAGACACGTGTTTATTTAATTTCATTGAAGAGCATCAATACCAAATTTCAAGTAATTCTGACCTAAAATATTTCTTTTGCATTGTATTATATAACGTGTTTTCCTATGGGAATTAGACAATATCCCACGGTAAAAAGTACCTATGTCACTCTCCAGCCTTCCAACTATCTCCACACAAAAAATCACGCCAAAAAGTCACTACGTTTCGACGTGAAAGAAAAACAAACAAACAAACACACTTTCACATTTATAATATTAGTCTGGAAGCATGGATATGGATTAACAGCTAAATGCATATGAAAGTATATACGGTACTAATGTCTTTTTGTTTCGGCTAATCTCCCTAACAGCTGTACCAATTTTGACGGGACTTTGACTGGCAGGTCGTGTTATAAGGATTAACTTAGGCTACTTTTATTTCAGAAAAAGAACTAGGGTTCCGGGCAAAATAATTAAAACCCAAGAAATTGTGAACAAAATCCGCGTACTACTAGAACTAGGGGCGCACTCGAGCGAAGCGAGGGTAAGTCGGCTAGCATTAAATATATATTTAATATTACTAAAGTTATGGTAAGCTATTGAGATAATGGTCATTTAGTAAGTTTAATGAAGTGGGGTCTCACACTTCTGAGATTTTATGTGCAAATCATTTCCAACATGAATAATACTTGCTATTACGATGAAGGGAATTACTGTTAAACAAAGAACGAATCGAGTTAAAGAACCGGAATATTCGGTATTTACTAGGGATGTATGAACTTAGACACATGCCCAGCAGTGGGATGTAGACTACATTTAAAAAAAAAATCTTTTATTATTTCACCGTTACAGGTTAGTAATAGTTGAAATGTATGTACATAATATGTATATTGGCACGACTCATAATTGCCACCATGCCATAAAAAATATTAGAAAAATCTATTAACAATTGGCGACCACATCGCATAACAGACTCCTAGTTTTTAAAGTCGGTTAAACAAATAATAGAAAGAAATTACTAAAACCAAGTATATTTTATCGAAATGAAAACTATTTAAAGTATACTTAGTAAATAAATACAAACCTCATGGGAAATCTTACGATCCGGATAAAATTTGCGCATTTGCGTCTTTATTTTGATAAACTAGGCGTGGATTTGGTCAGTATCGATCGGGTGTGAGATGTGAAAGACGGCAATAACATTTTGTTAGATTCATTCGATATCAAATTTCGTGTATTATTTGTGCGGTTACTTAAATTCGATAGAGTGCATTATTTTTAGATTTATATAAAACATCGGAAAATTCAAGAAAGAAAATAAAATCTATTCCATACTAAGCGTCAAAACCAACAATAAACCTAGAGGCGAACCCGAGCAAAGCGAGGGTGAGTCGCTAGTATGTATGTACTAGTGATGTAACGAATATTCGCACATTTTTGACATTCGCATTCGTATTCGCAAGAAACAATTGAGCTGGTCTGATGATGAAGTAAAGAGATGTACAGTTTACCTTACTCTTTTAGTCTTGGATGAGATTATATATATAACTATCTTTTCGAATGTCTCCGTGAATTCGTTATGATTTTTAGTTCCCGAAGTTTATTTAAAACTAGCATTGCCCGCGGCTCCGCCCGCGTTTAGATGACCAAAAACCAAATTCTTAGGTTTTACATATTAGTATACTCTTACAATGCAGTTTTTGTATTTTTTCTCAGAAATGAGATATTTTCCCGCGGAAAAAAGTATCCTATATGTTGACCCGGATAACCAGCAAACCAAACATACCAAATTTCATCAAAATCCCTCCAATGGTTTTTCTTTGATGCGCTAACAGACAGACAGACAGACAAAAATTCTAAAAACTATAGATTCGGCCTCTGTATTGATAATAATGTAAATTTTTCAATAAGATTTTCCAAAAAAAAAAATTAAATTTCATATGCAGATTCGGCTTAGTTACAATTTTATTATAAGTATAGATGTCAATTTTTTG